CCATGCTCTGTCCCTGAGACACTCAGCTTAAATCCCCCTGGTAACCTTCACATAGAAGGAAATAGGTTTTCTGCCACCCCTGCACCCTTCCCCCGCTTCCCCCACCCCCATAATAAGTTTCTCCACTGATGTAGTAAGCCAGATCGAGCCAAACTGAAAAAGTATAACAAGTATATTGAGCAAAGCAACTCTCTGGTGGGTTCACTGGTCTCAGGGAATGAGGCCAGAGAAGTAACACACAGGGGCTAAAGCAGTAACGTTTTATAGATTGTAGGCGAGGGGCAATGATGTGCCTGCCACAAGCAGGGTTTGTGCCCAAGTGTGGTCAATAACTGAGAGTTTAGGCAGGGACGGCTTTAACTTTAACATAGTAAAATTACATATAACAAAACAGGTATCAAGTAAGAATTATAGTTACAATATTTAGATCTACTTTATCTTTTATCATAACTAAGGAAAACTATAACTATAAATTTTTCAACTCCATCAAAGATTCCAGAAGGATATAATATGACCAAAGTAAACAGGAAATGCATTGTAAGCAACTTCCAAAACTCTAGAATTGACAGAGACATCTCGCTGCCTGGACAGTCACCCAAAGTTTTCTGTACCATTGGGGCATCCATCTTCAGCCTACAGGCCCATAGTATCTAGCAGACTTTTTCATGAAGCAGGAAATTTTAAAAATAGGTCTGCCTATATTGGCAGTTTGCCAGTCTCCCCCCCCCCTTTTTTTTTTTTTTGTATCCTGTAGAATGTCTCGCAGACTCTTTTATGAAGCAGGAACCCCGAAGGATCATCTCACCTTTTGGCAAGTTTAGCAGTCATTTTTTTTTTTATGGATCCTGTATGTCCAGTTTATCTAACAAACTCCATAAGGAGCCTCTTTGATGCCCATCCTTTTCTTGAAGTAGATTGGTGCTGCCAGGAGCAGATGTGTCTCACTGTCATGAGACACAAATTAAGTGTTTTTAAAACATGTAAATGCCATATTCTGAAGGTCTCTGGAAGATTTGAAAAATACCTATCTAACTGAAATATATCTCTTATATCTAGAAAACCTAACTAACATGACTACAATCTTGACTATTATAGATGACTATCTATTAACCTATATTTCTTAATTATATATTGCATCTTTAAATGAACTGCACAAACACAATACCTTAGACAAGACCAGAAATATACATATAACAAGATTGACCTTAAATTTGTATCAATAAGCCAAGATCTATACCAATGCAAATTATTCATTAATGGTAATCACAGCACATAGAGGGGACTCTCACATCATATATATACATAGAAATGTATAAATACAATCTGCTGAGACAATCTAGTGTCACTACTCTGCAGGTGTTTTGGGGGCTGACCACTTGACACTGGATAGTCAAGGCTTATCCCTGGGCGTGACAGGATCTCCCTCTCTCAGTAGTCACTGATTGTAGCTTTTCACCTAGGGGTGCAGTCTCATGAGACACACTGGTATGTCAACTGGTGTCATTGTTCAGGTCTTGTTCAGGCTATAAGTATGACTTTTAAAAATATGTAAAAGACATTTTGTTGCCAAGCGTTGTGATGCACACCTGTAGCCTCAGCACTGGGGAGAATGAGGCAGGACCATCACCATGTTTCAGAGGCTTACTTGAGTTATGTAGTGTGACCCTCACACACACACACACACACACACACACACACACATTATCTTGAAATCTAAATTTGGAACACAGCGATAAAGAATGTGCTTATTACTTGCCCCTAACTATGTATAGAAAAAAGTATGCCACTGTTTCCAAAAACAACAACCAAAGAGGGCTGGAGGGCATGCCCACTGTGCAGCCCTGGGTTCCATTCCCAACACCAAGTAAACCAGGCTTGATGCCAACTGCCTTTATTTCCAGCACTTGCGAGGTGGAGGCAGGACAGTCAGAAGCTCAAGGTCATCCGCAGCTACACAGTGAGTTCCAGACCATCTTGGGATAAATGAGAGCCTTTTTCCAACGGAAATAAAGAAGACAACAGAAGGAAAACAGGTCAAAATGTTTAAACACCAGTTGTCCCTGGTAGGACTTTTGAATGATGCTTTTTTTTTTCTTCCCTTTACTATTGTGCATTTTCCAAGTATTCAACAATAGAAACATGGAGAGAAACTGTCATTTTTTAAATAGTATGTTCTTTCGTTGCCTCTTCAAAAATGTAAGGGTTGAACCCAAAGAAAAACATATAGGCATCCTCCTGAATATTAACCTTCATCAGGCGATGAAAGGAGACAGAGACAGAGACCCACATTGGAGCACCGGACTGAAATCTCAAGGTCCAAATCAGGAGCAGGTGGAGAGAGAGCTCGAGCAAGGAACTCAGGACCTCGAGGGGTGCACCCACACACTGAGACAATGGGGATGTTCTATCGGGAACTCACCAAGGCCAGCTGGCCCGGGTCTGAAAAAGCCTGGGATAAAACCGGACTCGCTGAACATAGCGGACAATGAGGACTACTGAGAACTTAAGAACAATGGCAATGGGTTTTTGATCCTACTGCATGTACTGGCTTTGTGGGAGCCTAGGCAGTTTGGATGCTCACCTTACTAGACCTGGATGGAGGTGGATTGCTCTTTGGGCTGACGAGGGAGGGAGACTTGATCGGGGGAGGGAGAGGGAAATGGGAGGCGGTGGCGGGGAGGAGGCAGAAACCTTAAATAAATAAATAAATAAATAAATAAATAAATAAATAAAGGTTCTGTACCCAGAAGGATTTAGAAAAAATGGTGACTAGAACACACCATGCCAGTGGACAGAGCAGCAGGATCGCTGCAGAGACCCTCCCACACTCACTCATGTTACAGATAAGGATGTAGGACCTGGGGTGAAACATGAGCCTAGGCGGCAGGAATCCCATGTGTGAGGGGCAGGGCTCTCCTCCCAGCACTCCCCAGCCCATCTGATCATCTTCCCATTTAACCAACAGCATCTTCATCTTCCAATTCCAGACTGCTAGGTATGCCAGACTCACAGACTCACAGGGTGATGCTAGGCTAGCTCACCATCTGATAGCTATTGTAAATGCAGACTCCCACCGCCAGACAAGCGGTCCTTGCCTGTATTCCCAGCGCTTGAGAGTCAGAGGCAAGAGGACTTGTTTCTCCGTCAGCTTCCCAGTTAGACCGGAAGCTGCTGCTGTTTTAACTACCATGTGTGACCCTGCAGGCCCGCAGTCAGCGCCCTTCTGCTGCCGATGGAGTTTTTAACTAATTCTCTTTTGTTCTATCTACCAATAAAACTCGAAGTCAGATATCGAGGTGAAAACCTGCTGGCTCAGAGAGGCTCAGAAGCAACCAGCTGACCAAGGCAAAACTCTTAAGTCCTTCCCTACCCCTTCCTGTGTTTCCTGTGTGTCTTTATAGTCATCTTCCTGTCCTCTGTCTCTCTACGACCAATTCCTGTCAACTATTTGCTGGCTTCACCTCCTGATCCAAGGTTGATTTTATTAGCACAGTCTCAGGTTTCACAGTGCAATCAAATAGCCCACAACAATGACTGACACAAATTTGAGGCCAGCCTGACTTATATAGTGAAACTGTCTCAAAGGGATAAGCATCTCAGGACTCTTTCCCCGAGAAAAGGGGAATCAGAGCCTACATTTTAGAACCCCAGGGCAAGATTCCCACGGGAGCAAAAACAAATACAGAAACTCTTTCCTGGCTTAGTCTGAAGCTGACCTGGATGGCCAAAGAAATGCTTTTTTTTTTTTCAAATTTTATTTATTTATGTTGGGGGGGGAATCCTCAAATGGCACAGAGAATATTTGGAGGTCACGGGACAACGTCTTAGGGTTTCTCTCGCTGTGAAGAACACCATGCCAACAGCAACTCTTATAAAGGAGAACATTTAATTGGGGTGGTGTGCTTACCATTTCAGAGGTTTAGTTCCTTTCCTGTCAGGTCGGGAAGCAAAGCAGCATGCAGGTAGACCTGGTGCTAGGGAAGGAGCTGAGAGTTCTTACACCTTGACTACAGACAATAGGAGGTAGTCTATCTCACTGGGTGTGGCTTGAACATATGAGACCTCAAAGCCCACCCCCCATAGTGACACACTTCCTCCAACAAGGCCACACTTCCTAATAGTGCCACTCCCTTTGGGGGGGGGGCATGTTTTATCCAAATTACCACAGACAACTTGCAGGAGTCACTTCTCTTCTTCCAACTGCTGGAATTAAAGGCATGCATCACCACCCCCCAGCCCCCTTAATAATTCTTGCTAGACAGGTTTCTACAGGCCTGATGTCCTCTGAGCGTTGGGACTTCCCACCTAGTAATTGTTACCTAGCAATCATTCAGTATGTGTGTAATAATACCAGTAAGTAGTCTAGGGGTAGCTCAGTGTAGTGTTGTCTAGCATGTGATACCTCTGAGTTCAATCCTCAGCACCAATATATAAATAAGTAAATACAGAGAGAGAGCAAGGGCACTGGTGACTTTTCGCCATCTTTTACTTGTGCCTTTCAGAATGTTACACTTCCAAAAGAGACAGTTTTCTCCACTCCAACATCCATAACCATGTCAATTCCACCTCCAACGGCGAGGAAGTGGGTGAGGCTGAAGGTCAAATACTGTAAATTGTTTATGGCAGGACTTCCTGTGGTTTCAAAAGTTTGCGAAATCTCATTCCACACAATCAATGTGTGCTTTCGGGGTCTTCGCTTTCAGGGTGCTCATCCTTTTCAATGCCGTCATTCAACATTCCTGCCCACCTCCAGTCTCCGCCTCGCCCCCAGATCTGGCTCCGCCCACATACCTGACCCCTCCCACTCAAGGGGGAGCGCCGCCGCGGGCCCCGCCCTACATCCCGTCCTGCCTATAAATGTGCTTTATCTACACAGGCCCCACCTTTCTCTAACTCCGTCCACCAGCGGAATGCGCCGCCATAGGCCTTATCCTATCCGACTCCGCCCACTCCCTGGGAGCGTCAGGCCCCGCCCATCCCTTACCGCAGAGGGCCGGCGTGCGAACTGCGCAGGTGCGCGCCAGAGGCGCGGCCTTCTCACCCCCACGCAGGTCTCTCTGCGTGAGGGTGGGAAGGCGATCGCGGGCTTGACTGCAGGTAGAACCCGGGGCCGCGCTAGCTGGCGGAGGTCTCAGAGACCTCGCGAGAGGGGCGCGGGCGAGGCCCCGCGGGACGGCCGTTGCGAGCGCGGTGGCGGCGGGCCTGGCCTGTGTTGGACTGAGCCCGCGAGTGTGGGCCCGGGGAGGGGGGGGCCGAGGCCGCGCGCTGCGAAGGCGAGCCAGCCGCAACCCCCATGGTGTGAGTCCTAAAGGCGAGCCCTCTGGACCTGGCCGCTCCCTAGGCCACGCCCCAGCCTGGGAAGATGGAGGGGGACCGGCGGAGCAGTCCGCCCAGCCAGAGCCTGCTTCCCGATGGCCACTTGGTCCTATGGACGCTGTTCTCCGTGCTGCTGCCGGTGTTCATCACCTTCTGGTGTAGCCTTCAGCGGTCGCGCCGGCAACTGCATCGCAGGGACATCTTCCGCAAGAGCAAGCACTGCTGGCGTGACACCGACCTGTTCAGCCACCCCACCTACTGCTGCGTGTGCGGGCAGCACATCCTTCAGGGAGCCTTCTGCGACTGCTGCGGGCTCCGCGTGGACGAGGGCTGCCTCAAGAAGGCGGACAAGCGCTTCCCGTGCAAGGAGATCATGCTCAAGAACGACGGCCGGGCCACAGATGCCATGCCTCACCACTGGATCCGCGGCAACGTGCCCCTGTGCTCTTACTGTGTCGTCTGCAAGCAGCAGTGCGGCAGCCAGCCTAAGCTCTGCGATTACAGGTATGGCCTTTGTGTATGGAAGGGGCGGGGGCGGGCAGGATTGCAAACACTCGCTCGAGAGACCTAAATTCATCGCAGCAAATGGCCTAAACCGCTCGCTCGCAAGCATCCCTGGCGTTCACGGCAGACCCCCTTTAGATGCTTTGTTTTCGCGTTTTGGAGATGGGGGCCTCCTATAGCCCAGGCTGGCCTCAAACTTTCTGGATAAGAGAGGATGACCTTGATCTTTTGATCCTTCTGCCTTCACCCCCCACCCCCCGTGCTGAGATGACAGCCCAGTTCAAGAGGTGCTGGGGATCTAACGCAAAGCTCCTGAACACGTTTCTCAAGTACTCTGCCAACCGAACCCGCCATCACCTTCCCACCCCTGCCAGGGCTCTTAATTTTCATCCAAGGCCTCTTAATTGCCGCCTGCCTTGTGGCTACTCTGTAGCACCCCATTTTATATAAGGAAAACTGAAGGGCACACACAGTAACTTTATTCTAGTTACAAACCAGCCGGCTGTTGGTTTAGAACTATGAAAACAAGGGTTATCCCAAAGCAGAGCTCCAAGTTTCTTTTGCAAAAACTGCTCTTGGTGTCATAGTGAAGTGTTTGACATACAAGACAAAAACGGATTATTTATTTTATGTTTGCCATTTGTTTATTTGTGGGGGGGGGTGCACATTTGTAATGAATTGTATATGTGGGGATCAGAAGACAGAACTTTGTGGAGTGCGTTCCCTTCCACCGCAGGAGTCCTGCCACTCTAGCAAGTAATCAGGCGAGTGGGCCTCACCAGCCCTGAAAGGAGTATTTCGTCGTCAGATCTTTCAGGTGAGTCACCTGAGTTAAACTGAGCATGTTTTTATGGCTTCCGCACGTACACTGAAGAGTGCGTTTTGCGTGCCGAATGGCGTCTGAACGAGGCTTCTGCGTAGGAGGTCGGTGGATGGCAGCGCTGCTCTCGCGTGTTCAACGGTAGAGAAGATTGAAGATAAAGCAGGGCAGGATCCTGAGATTTCTGACACCTAGCCTTGTCTGGATCTCACTGTGTAATGGGTCTTATTTCCAACAAATAGAAAGTCCCACACACGCTCCCAAGAGCTGAAGCAGAAGGTGGTACCAGCTGCTGTGTGTCTCGGTGTGACTCTGGGTGGGGGTATGTACACATGAGCACCCAGAGGCCACAAGAGGGTGACACTCAGACACATACACCCAAGCCCAAGTTGTAGGTGGTTGTAAGCCTCCCAGCATGGGTGCTGGGAACCAAACTCAGGTTCTTTTCAAGAGCAGGACGCATTCTTTAGCTGTTGATCCATCTGTCCATCCTCTCTTTAAAAGGTTTTTCAAGACAGGGTTTCTCTGTGTAGCCCTGGCTGCCCTGGACCTCGCTCTATAGACCAGGCTGGACTCATACTCACAGAGATCTGCCTGCCTCTGCCTCCCAGTTCTGGGGTTAAAGGAGTGTACCACTGCTGCCTGATTGAAAAGGTTTTAACAGGAAAAAAAAAAGATTGAATAAGTTATGAAATAGTACATATAATGCAATATTATATGTTTCTTTCTAAACCATGATTTTTTTAAAAAAAATAGCTTAGGAAAATATGTGTGATACCAACTTGGAAGAAATGCAGAGTCCAATACACAAAGATCACGCTCCTACCTGAAAAGCATCTTGTACTATAAAATTGGGAATATGTCTCCAGAAGAATTGTCGATGGTGTTATTTATACCTTTCAAAGATTCCTAAATTCTCAAGCATAAAGAAATTCATTAAAGAAATTCATCGGGCTGGAGAGATGGCTCTGTGGTTAAGAGCACGGACTACTCCTCCAGAGAACCCAGGTTCAGTTCCCAGCACCCACACGGCAGCTCACACTTGTCTGTAACTACAGTTTCTGGGAATGTAACACCCTCATGCAGAAATGAATGCAAACAAGACACCAATGCACATACAATAAAATTAAATCTAAAAAAATCATGAATATATTCTAGTTTTTAGAAACTAAAGCAACACACACAGAGGGTTAGACATTCATGTCCTCCCCATCTGTAGTATTGCTTCTCTTCCCAGGGGAAGTTATTAGGAAATACTGCAGTGGTTATCCTGCAGGTTATGTTCAATAATAATATACAATAAGGCCACCATCATGTGTTAGCCTGTGCCATGAGGCCTAACCTAGACTCTGCCCTGGTTTGGGGTTCTTCTTCAGGAGGCTAGATTTATTTTATATGTGGGTGCTCTTCCTGCATGTATGTCTCAGTACTGCTTGTGTGTCTGGTACCCCCAAGTGGAAGAGGATAATCAGAAGCCCTGGAACTAGAGTTGCAGATAATTTGTGAGCTACCAGGTAGTTGCTGGGAATCTAACCCTGGTCCTCTGCAAGAGTAACAGTGCTCTTAATTGCTGAGCCATCTCCCCAGCCCCTGCCCTTGTTTTTTCAACATAACAGTTTTTGGTTTGGGGTTGGTTTTTTTGTTTTGTGTGTTGGGGGGCGGGTGTTTGTTTGTTGTTTTGGTTTCTTTCTCTTTTTTTGACACAAGAACAATACTTCCAAATGGGAAATTATTTGTCCCTTATGCTTGTCTCTGTGGTGGTGACAGTTTGTTTATATACCACATCTGATTAGCTGTGCAGGTGTGAAACCAGGAAGTTAAGTAGATCAGTGTCTCATAGTTGTTGAAATAGGAACGGCGGAGAAAGACGACCCTCCTCCATCACATAGTCTTATTTAGCTTAAAAATTGGTGGTAAAATTTGACCCTTTTCCCCGCAAATAAATGTGATATGGGGAAAAATAAATACAATATAGTAGGTTAGAGTTAGCTGATCTGTAGATGTAGGTAGGTAGGTAATAAGAATATTTGACTATCATATACAAATCCTAGGTTCCATCCCCAGCACTGGAGGAAAATTACTCAAACTTGGTGGCACTTGCCTATAGCCCCAGCAGTCTGGAACCTGAGGCATTAGGATTGAGAGTTCAAGGCCAGAGAGAATCAAATAGCAGCATCTTTGCTCAGAAACAGTGATAACATATTCAGGAGTTATTAGCTGTAAGCAGCCAGTAGATGGGTGTATTCACATCTTCTGTGTAACCTTCTATTACAGTTTCTGACGTTAGAAGCCAGTCTTTATAAATGGCATGAGCAAGTTGTGTTATAATTGTCTCATTGTGCAGGTATCTATTTTTAGCCATCAGTAGAACTCTTGAGTAAACAATAATTACTTGACAAATCTCAACATCCAAAAGGAGAAAAAAAAAAACACCTTTAAAATAGAAGACCAGGAGATAACATCTGGCAGAGAAGTGTTTGTTCCCTCCTTAGATTAGTTAATTCTGTCCTGCTCTGGTGGCCTGCTTTTGCTCAGTCAGATCTGACTTATCTGTGAGGGGATTAAATAGCTTAGCAGATTAATAATAGAAAGCCTAAGTCTTGCCAACACTGTTCCCTGCCTGTCACTGGCACTGGTACCCAATACAGAGACAAATCTGAATACGCACGCTCTGTCTTTGTTTTAGAAGCAGACATGGAACTGTTTATCTGCTCCTAAAAGAAATGGGATGTTCGCCGGGCGGTGGTGGCGCACGCCTTTAATCCCAGCACTCGGGAGGCAGAGGCAGGTGGATCTCTGTGAGTTCGAGACCAGCCTGGTCTACAAGAGCTAGTTCCAGGACAGGCTCCAAAACCACAGAGAAACCCTGTCTCGAAAAACCAAAAAAAAAATGAAATAAAAAGAAATGGAATGCTTTCCTCTCTATGTGCAAGTTGACAGTTTTCTAAACCAGACCTGAGGAACTGCAGGTGTCAGACAGGTTTAAACGAAAGCCTACACATTGCTAATTACGGCTGTTGTTCTAGGTTGACCTTATTAGGAGGTTGTACCTACAGGTGTCTATCATGATACAAAATCACCCTGAGAAATTGTGCATTTTTAAAAGTATGATCAGGGGCTGGAGAGATGGCTCAGAAGTTAAGAGCACTGACTGCTCTTCCAGAGGTCCAGAGTTCAATTCCCAGCAACCGCATGGTGGCTCACAGCCATCTGTAATGAGATCTGGTGCCCTCTTCTGGCCAGCAAGCATACAGACAGATAGAACACTGTATACATAAATAAAGAAATCTTTAAAAAAAAAATAAATGAAAGTATGATCATAGGTAGTATATTTTTGTGCAGTTTTTAAAATTACATTTATTTTTGTGTGGATACACTGTTTTACCTTTTGACAGAAATGTGGTTTGTGGATTAGGAACACCGGTTTACAATGAACCGATGGTTGTTTCTTCTTTCCTCAGGTGCATTTGGTGCCAGAAAACAGTCCATGACGAGTGCATGAAGAGCAGCGTAAAGAATGAAAAGTGTGACTTTGGAGAATTCAAAAATCTCATCATCCCACCAGGTTATTTGGCATCCATTAACCAGATGCGTAAAGACAAAAGGACTGATTATGAAGCGGTAATTAGCTTATTTATTTTATAGATTTATTCATTTAAAGTTAGTATATAAGATAGTTAATTCTGAGAAAAAAAAATGAGAATGAAGTAAATAAGAGATTAAAGGGTTTAAAATGTCATTATGGGAAGCCATAAAACTGTACCCACAGCCAATCATGATAGCAAATGACTTTAATAACAGCACTCAGGAGGTAAAGGCAGTAGGACCAAAAGTTTAAGGTCATTATAGCAAGTTCTAGAATACGTAGCTAAAACTAAGAACCAGGAGGTGGAGAGATGGCTCAGCAGTTAAGAGCACTGGCTGTTTTTTCAGAGGACCAGGATTCGAGTCTCAACATCCACATGGAGACTCAGAACCAGCTATAACTGCAGTACCAAGGGATCCAACATCCTCTCTGGCCTCTGGACATTGCTTTCATATGGTACACAGACATACATGCAGGCAAAACACCCATACATAAAAAATAATAAAAGAGCCTTTAATCACAGTACTTAATAGGCAGAGGCAGGAGGCAGATAGATCTCTGTAAGGCTTTTCCTCAAAAAAACAAAGAAAAAAACTAGGGATCACAGACAAAAAAAAAAAAAAGAAAGAAAGAAAAAAAAAAAAACCTGGCCAGCTAGTATATTCTCAAATACATCCAGAAATGAAAAACAAGGTCAGAGGAGATCAGACTTCACTCTGTCGATGGATAAAAGCACATGGACTGTATTAACTGGTGACAGACTCAAATACTAAGGTTGAACATCCCTAACCCAACATTGAAGATCCAGAATTTAAGGTACCATCATGGTACCACAAGTAGAAAATCCTCCTCCTAATCACAGGACAGGTTGTGGTCAAAATGTAGGAACACTAAAATGTCCTTTACAACTGACCTTGTGCTGTTTGAAGGTACATACATATGAAACATAATTTCATATTAAATTTGGATCCTGTCTCTAAAGTAACCCTATTATGTATGTGCAAACACTCCAAAATGAGAAACACTTCTGCTGGGCGGGCGGTGTTGATGTGAGTTCAAGGCCAGCCTGGTCTACACAGCGAGTTCCAGGACATCCAAGGCTGTACAGAAACTCTGTCTCAGAAAAAAAAAAAAAAAAAAAGAGGGAGAGACATAGTTCTGTTTAAGCATTTCAGATAATAGATACTCCAACTATGTACTGTTCCAAATTTTGAACATAGCATGTGTAATGACTGTTTTGGAAGCAAAATGAGAAAAAGCACTCGCCATGCAAGCATGAGGACCTAAACTCAGTCCTCAGCATCTGTGTTCAAGGCTGAGCATGGTGCATCCATTTGTAATCCCTGCCTTAGGAAGGCAGTACTCCTGGGGCTTGCTGGTTAGCCAACCTACCATAACTGACAAGCTGCATGAGCCGTCAGGAGACCATATTTCAAGAAAGAAGATAGTCTCTTGGTGAGTAGGTGGCCAACACCTTCCATCTAGCACTTGGGAGACAGGCAGGTTGATTGATTTCTATGAGCCCCAGGCCAACCAAGGCTATATAGTGAGATTCTGTCTGAAAACAGGAAAGGAAAGAGGGGGCTTCTGGAGAAAATATCCGAGGGGGTTGTCTCCTCTTGCCATGGAGACTTGTGCACACAGCAAGTCTACATTGAGTAAAAGGTCAAGCTGTAAAATCCTCTGCCATTCTCGGGCTTGTTTGTCATTATTGTGTTGATAGTACAGGTTTATTTCTTTCAGCAAATTATAGCACCATTGCTACTAAGGAAAGTTTTGTATTTGCCATCTCTCAGACGCTACTAACCCTGTTTCGTCCATGTTCATTTTTTAGCTGGCTTCTAAGTTTGGAAAGCAGTGGACCCCATTAATAATCCTGGCCAACTCTCGCAGTGGAACTAACATGGGAGAAGGACTGTTGGGAGAGTTTAGGATCCTGTTAAATCCAGTCCAGGTAACTAAAGAGAAAGCCTTGCTTTCTAAGTCTCATTTTTAGCTTTTGTTTTCCCTAAAATGCAATGGTTATTGATGCTTTAAATCGCTACCTAGTCATAGGAAAGAATAATACTTGTTTAAAAAAAAACCTCAAGCCTTTCAAATATGTAGTAAAACAAAAGTCACATCACCCAGCAATCTCATTTCAAGGGAAAGGAAGCCTTATGTCCCACAGAGATTGGGGTACAAATGTCCGATGGCAGTATTAGCCATAATCGCCTAAAAATGGAAGAGCTCGACTCTCTGTCAGCTGGTGAATGAATAAACGTGCTGTGTCTTCATAAAATGGGTACTTTTCAGTGACTGACAGAAACAAACTATATGATAGTAAGTGAACCTAAAAAGCACCGCTAAATCAATCAGGGCTGAAGGTATCAATCAGACTGTGTAATTGCTTTCATGTGTCCTGTCCAGAAAGGGCAAATCAATAGAGCCAGAGAGTGTAATTAATTCTTGATTGCCTGGGACTGGAAATGGGAAGTGGCTGTAAAGGGACCTTGAGACATCTTATTAAAAAAAACAAAACAAAGAAAACAAAAAACAAAAGGGTTATGTACTAGATTTTGATAGTAGTTGCACAAACTAAAATCAACTATGTGTTCCTTTTTAGAGAGGAATTTTTTGATAAAGTAAATTATACCTTGATTTTTTTAGGAGGGGTTCGAGATAAGGTTTTGAGCCTGTCCTGGAACTCACTTTGTAGACCAGGCTGGCCACAAGCTCATGGAGATCTACCTGTCTCTGTCTCCCAAGTGCTGGGATCAAAAGCATGTGTCACCACTGCCCGGCTTATTCCTTGATTTTTAAAATGGGGGGAGGCACGCCATTAAAACTGAATGTACATAATCCAAGTGTGATGGCACACCCCTATACTCCCAGTACAAGGAGACAGAAGCAGGTTGATCTCTAAATTCAAGGCCAGTTTTTAAAGCATGAAGTACAGAATACTAGCTAAGGGCGAGATTAGCATGTTGTAAGGGGAGCAGCGGGCTGCGTCCCACCACTGGACTAGTTTATACCTGAAATAACCACACCAAATTGTATTGATTAAATTACTGCTTGGCCCATTATTTCTAGCCTCTTATTGGCTAACTCTCATGTCTTGATTCAACCCATTTCTAATAATCCGTATGTTACCACAAGCTCATGGATTACCGGGAAAGATTCAGCATGTCTGATCTGGCAGCTTCATGGTGGGTGGCTCTCTGACTCTGCCTTCTTCCTCCCAGAATTCTGTTCTGCCTTCCCTGCCTACCTGAGTTTGCCCTATCAACTAGGCCAACTTCACCAATGAAAGTAACACATAGGCAGAAGACCCTCCTACACCATTAGCGCACTAGAGTTTGATGTGAACAGAAAGGAATCAAATGGTACTGTAGCCTTAGGCTCTCAGTTTGTGTTGTGTTTCCACATCTGCAGAATCACACAACTGATTTAGCCTCCTGGGCCCCGTGTCCTAGTCGGTAGAATGAGGTCTGTCCCTGCTTTGTAGGTCAGTGTACTGGATGAGCCACAGTAATAGATTGGGCCCTGGGAACTGTCAGGAAAATACATAGAGGGCAGTCATCCGCAGGTGAAGGACAGTGTAGGCTGAACAGAGTCTCCTTGTTCTTTTATTTTTAGGTGTTCGATGTAACTAAAACGCCCCCGATCAAGGCCCTGCAGCTGTGCACTCTTCTTCCTTATCACTCAGTTCGCGTCCTTGTTTGTGGAGGGGACGGAACTGTGGGCTGGGTCCTCGATGCAGTTGATGAAATGAAGATTAAGGTATCTGTCTTTAAGAATCACTGTAAAGTCGGCAGTGGTGGCACACGCCTTTAATCCCAGCACTCGGAGGCAGAGGCATACAGATCTCTGAGTTCGAGGCCAGCCTGGTCTACAAGTGCTAGTTGCAGGCTCCAAAGCTACACAGAGAAACCCTGACTCAAAAAACCAAAACCAAACAAACAAAAAGAACCACTCTAATGGGTGCTGATGATATGGCTCAGTAGCAGAGCACCCAAAAAGAGTGAAAGTAACAGGTGACCACTAGATGAAGCCGATTTGGATAGTTAGGAATGAAACACTGTGATTAAGAAATTAGTGTAACCTACAGTTGTCACTTTTGTCTTTGTTGCTTTAGTCTTTAAATTTTACAAAATACTATAATGCTACAAATAATCTAAAGAGAAAATCTGCAGTACATCTTCTGTATTCTAGGGACAAGAAAAGTACATTCCACAGGTTGCGGTCTTACCTCTGGGAACAGGCAACGATCTGTCCCATACCCTGGGTTGGGGTACAGGCTATGCTGGAGAAATCCCGGTCGCACAGGTCTTAAGAAATGTAATGGAAGCAGATGGAATCAAGCTAGACCGGTAAGTTACTACTGCTAACTAGTAACTAGTACTAACAAGTCTGTTGCTTGAGTTTGGAGTTTGTTTATTTGTGTAAATAAACAGTGAAGTTGGTCAGGCATGGCAACTCATCCCTGTAATCCCAGCATTTGGGAGATTAAAGCAGAAGAGAAATTCCATGAATTTGAGGCCAACCTGGGCCATGGAGTTAAGAATTTGTCTCAAGAAACCAAAAACAAGCTAAATGTAATTTAAGTGAAAAGAACTATTATATTAGTTGCACTTATAACAGATTCTGGTGTCTTGTTTTTAATATTGTAAATAGTTCAGTTATAAATTATGCTAAAATTTGCACACTTACTTAGATGTGGGTACATCCTTAGATGCTTTAAAATAGCATCGAGAGCCGGGCGGTGGTGGCACACGCCTTTAATCCCAGCACTCAAGAGACAGGGACAGTCAGATCTCTGTGAGTTCGAGGCCAGCCTGGTCTACAGAGCAAGTTCTAGTATGGCCAAGGCTATGCTGAATAACCCTGTCTTGAAAAACCAAAAAAATTAAAAATAAATGAAACATAAAATAGCGTTGAAATTGTCATCTGTCAACTTAGCTAGAATACATATTTTTTTTGGTAAAATATACTTTTTTAACTTCTGTTTTTTAGATGGAAAGTGCAAGTAACAAATAAAGGATACTACAATTTAAGAAAACCCAAGGTACGTTTTTAGCACTTCAGTTGTACGCAATTTAGCAAGTGCACACAGAGTGTCTGTGGTCCGTTATTCCCGTCAGGCAGCGTGGAGAGATCTGGCATCAAAAGGGAGCTGGGTACAAAGCAGATCACCATGTGCCTGCCTTACTCACTAAACTGTTGGGTTTGGTTGTTTGAGGTTTTCCTTGTTTTGTTTCTGTTAACTTGTATTTGGGGAGGTGCTAAGTGAATATTTTGACCACATCCCCAGCCCCCAAGCTGGGCTCTAAAATGAACAGGTGCACTTAGTTCTGCCCTGGCAGATCAGGTTAGTTTGGATCAGCCAAGGACCATAGGTGAGGTATGTCAGCAAATAGTTGACATTGCAGAGATAGTAGAGAACATTTGTTTACTGAGGATCAAAGTCAGGATCTCACACACGCTGCCCGAGTATTCTGCCACTGAGGTACCCCCCAATCTGTATTTTAAGAAAATTTTCTGAGATAGTATGACCATGGCTTACAGACACAAGGAGAGCCTTAAGGATAATTTAGAGAGTTTATTTTCAGTTTAAAGATGTTTTAAAGTTAAACTGATAAGACTTGATTAATGATGGCCACAAAAGGAAGAGAGAAATACATAGCTACTAGAGCTTAATGTTTATGATTAGATATATGGAAATGATATTAATCAAGAAAATAAAAATAAGGAAGTTGGGGCTTGGTGTGAAATGAAATGTGTTACTTGGCATAGTGTCTCAAACAACTGTGGGTATTTAATCAGAGGCTGAAGGTTTGTGTTTTTTGCTCACAAGATAGGAGCTAGACATGTAGACTGAAGAATTTAGGCTGAATAGGAAAATACAAACTAAGGGAATAAAGAGTTAAGACCAACAGAATCTGAAAGTTACAAAGAAGGTACAGAACAAATACCATGAGAACACAGAAGTGAAAAATCCTGCCTAGAAAATCAGAGCCTTGGTGGTGGCGCACACCTTTAATCCCAGCTGGAGGCAGAGGCAGGAGGATCGCTGTGAGTTTAAAACCAGCCTGCTCTACAGAGTGAGTTCCAGGATAGCCAGGACTGTTATACAGAGAAACTGGAGAGAGAGAGGGAGAGAGAGAGAGAGAGAGAGAGAGAGAGAATGTAGAGCCATTCCAGATGGGATGAGATGTGGCATGCTGAGTAGAAGTGGGAGTCGTGTCTGTAGTTACTAGCCCACAACTTCACTGGCAGTTTCTGATAGTCTGTGAAAAGTAAATTTCAGAAAATATTCCATTTGCAAGAAGAATGCGGACTGGGATTGACCAGTGGGTGGCACTGCTGCTGGAGTCACCGTCACTTCCTCTCTCACAGGAGTTCACAATGAACAACTACTTCTCTGTTGGACCTGATGCCCTCATGGCTCTCAATTTTCACGCTCATCGTGAGAAGGCACCGTCTCTGTTTTCCAGCAGAATTCTTAACAAGGTGTGTGGGATAAAATAACATTTCCTTCTTATCACTGAAGGCACAGTAAAAATCAATAGTTCAATTATATTCAGCACTCTTAGATTCCGATCAGACTGACTTATGGCAACATTTACATGCTCTGCTTTGTGTAGGGTTTCAAATTAGGATCCACAAATTTATTTTGTTGACTATAACAAGAGTTTTAAAATTAGAAAGTTGAGATATTTTATTTAGATGGAAGTTAATTGGAGTATGTTAACGTCTGTCTTAAATAGCTGAAAGGGTTTTTTTGTTTTGGTTTGGTTTTTTTTTTTGTTTTTTTGGTTTTTTTTTTTTTTTTTTCTAGACAGGGTTTCCCTGTAACTTTGGAGCCTGTCCAGTAACTTGCTCTGTAGACCAGGCTGGCCTCAAACTCACAGAGATCCGCCTGTCTCTGCCTCCTGAGTGCTAGGATTAAAGGCGTGCGCCACCACCACCCAGATGGAAGATTTTGGTTAAGTTACTAATAGAGAACTATATTCTGTTGGCTTAGGAAAGCCCCACAAGGCAAATGAGGTAAGGAAAGGGGCATTTGTTCCCATGACTCTTATACTTTTAACAAAAGTCATCACTCCAATTCCTAGCATGGCTGATCCCTACTCCTTATTTGGTTTGGTTTGGTTTTTTGAGAGACAGGGTTTCTCTGTATAACAGCTCTGACTGTCCTGGGACTCATTTGTAGACCAGGCTGGTCTCAAACTCACAGAGATCCACCTGTCTCTGCCTCCTAAGTGCTGGGATTATAGGCATTCACTACCCCCACTTGGCTTGTTTGTATTTGATTTGTTGTTGCTTCTGGAATTTTTTTTTTTTTTTGAGACAGGGTCTCTCTGTGTAGTTCTGGAACTCACTACGTGGACTGGGCTGGCCTTGAATTTGCAGGGCTCCACCTGCCTTTGCTGGGATTAAAGGTGTGCTCCACCATCCCTAAGTCTGCTTAGCATGTTTTTTCCAAGTGACTTGGCTGTGAAAGATAAATACACATTAGTTTATCCTTATTTATGTTTTACAAATAGTTGAAATTTTATACTATTTGTGTATGAAATATACACATTTCATGGGGCATGTCCTTGCATCCTTCATGGACAGCAGAGATGAACTTCAGGAGGCAAGAAGGCAGTTCTGCTCAGCACAACTCAGTACCATGTGTTGGTTCAGACTTCAGCAGTCTGACCCCAAGTGGTTTATTGTAGGCATCTTAAGCACAGCACAGTTTGGTGGAAACTGTTCTGGGGATAACTAACTCAGTCCCTCATAAACAACAAAGCATGCATACGTCTTCTTGGGAACAAAGTAAGCTAAATACACACCAGATGTGACTCCATCAAAGCTCTTTGTAAAGCCCATAAAGATGGGTTCTATAGACTGACTCAGAAAAGCAAACTTAGGGGAAGGGTCTGGGGGAAGATCTGGTGCCAGAAAATCTCTGGCCACACAGGTAGTGCAAAGGTCACCAGATTAGCAAGCAAGCTTCAGCCTCTGGGCAGAGAACAGGTTTGCGTTCCTTCCCCTGTGTGCACGCCTGTGAGCATAGAGACCTCCATGGCCCCAATATTCCTCTCTTTTTAGATTTTAAAGAGAATAAACTGTGGCTGTAATAGAGCCCAAGGCTGAGTGCAGTACCTACCTACAATGCTACTCTAGCTATTATAGGCAAGCATAAGAGAACTGCACGAATAGCAGGGGGCCAAGGAAAGGAGAAAGCTATCTTAACCATGATAGTCATTCAGAGGTCACTTGGGAGGGAGATTTTTGTCATCGTTGTCATCATCCCCTCCCGTGTGTGTGTATATATGTTTGTGTGTGTTTGTGTGCGTTTTGTTTGTTTTGTTTTGAGTTTTTTTTTTTTGGTGGGTTTTTTTGTTGTTGGGTTTTTTGGTTTGCTTGGTTTTTGTTTGTTTTTTCAAGACAAGGTTTCTTTGTGTAGTGTTGTCTGTCCTGGAACTCACTCTGTAGACCAGGCTGGCTGGCCCAAATTCAGAGGGATCTATCCACGTCTGCCTCCCGAGTGCTGGGATTAAAGGCATGCGCCACCACCACCCACCATCATTTATGCAGATTATCAATTTGACGACTGATAGATAATATGAGAGAAATCTGACATACTAAAGCAGCACGTACCAGGAAATTGCTGGCACCAAGATTATGCTTGAGCAAAAATTCTCTATAGTAGCTATGTTTTCTAAAACGGTGGTTCTCAATTTGCCCATCACTTGATTAACTTCTGCTAATATTGTTGCTATTGTGTTAGTACTTTTATTAATCATACAGATCATCTTTTAAATATCTCTTTGTCTTCCAGTGATCACTGCTGAGACTGGTAATAAAAAAAGGCATCGTAACAGCAACTATTACAGGATCTAGTAGATGCAAAAATAATCACAATTTTCAGGGAGAGCTCTTTCACAGACATTAGTTCCCTTTTCTTAATAAAATAATAAGACAGGAGGGGACAGCAGAGACAACTTAGTGGTTGAGGTCACTGGATGCTCTTGCAGAGGACCAGGGTTTGATCCCCAACACCCACATGACAGCTCACGACCCTCTGACTCCAATTCCAGGGAATCAGATGCTCTGTTTGATCTCTATAGGTACTAAACACACTTCAGGCAAAGCACTCACACACATAGAATAAAATCTTTTTTAAAATAGTGTTGCTAAGACAATAAAGACTGCTATTTATACAGTTGGCAACTTCAGTTTTTCTGTCAACCCTTTTATATTCCAAAGTGTTTAGACAACGTATGCTAGATTTATATGCATTTTCCTTAATAATTTGGAGTACTGGGGAAAAAATAGAATTTTCTTATTTCAACATAGTCTTATAAAATAGACTTTTCGAATAAGTCAAGAGACAGTATTATTTGAACACAAACCCTCCCAACCATATCCCACATTCCCTCTGAAAAACAGAGTAGTTAAACCAAAAAATGATGGGTTTTTATTGTCACCTTTAAAGAGAGTGATGATTCTGTAATTGTAACAGAATGGGAGACCTGAGGCAGGAGAATCACCACAAAGTCAAGGCAGTTGACTACATAGTAAGACTCTATCCGAGGAGAGGGTTCAGAAATGCTGCTCAGCCGCCAGTGCCTCAGTTGCATGTAGCCCTGGGTTTAACCCCAGCACCTCATAAAGCCAGGTGGGGTGACAACCAACCAACTGCAATCTCAGTACCCAAGAGGCAGAGGCAGGAGGATTAGGAGTTCAACCTAAGTATCAAATTTTAGGCCAGCCTGGGCTACATGAGACCCTATCTCCAAAGAGAGAGAGGGTTAGCATTTCATGTGTCCTGGCCACAGTTCACTTAGACTCCTCCTACCACAGTTGATGATGAAATGAAATGCCGGACGGGTATTAGAAGGGTGTGAACCTGGGTCGCATGCCAGAGGCTTCCCCGTTTCTCTGTCCCTCAGTGTCCAGGCCACATGGGAAACAGTGGCTTACAGCATAGCAGGAGCCTTGCTGTAGTATCTTCTTCATGCTTTAATTTCTATTTTCACAGGCTGTCTATTTATTCTATGGAACTAAAGATTGTTTAGTGCAAGAGTGTAAAGATTTGAATAAAAAAATTGAGGTAAGCTACTAATACCTTTTCTAAAGATTTCGGTATTGTCTGAATTCTGAAGTTCTTTAACAAATGCTGAGTAGTTTTCTGTAAACATACTTTGTTCATGGATGTCAAGTGTCCATTCGTATGCCAGACACTTGCTTAAGTTGCTTGTTTTTTAAAAAGTATTTATTTATTCATTTATTTATTTATTTTGTATACAATATTCTGTCTGTGTGTATGTCTGCAGGCCAGAAGAGGGCATTAGACCTCATTACAGACGGTTGTGAGCCACCATGTGGTTGCTGGGAATTGAACTCAGAACCTTTGGAAAAGCAGGCAATGCTCCTAACCACTGAGCCATCTCTCCAGCCCAAAGTTGCTTGTTTTTATGTATATGAGTGTTCCACCTGCATATATGTAAGTGTAACACTTGTGTGCCTCAGTGGCCCAAAGAGGGGAACAGATCCCTTGAACTAGAGTTCAGTACAGTTGTAAGCTGCCTTGTGGGTGCCTAGGAACTAAACCTGGGTTTTCTGTAAGACTAACAGGTGTTTTAACCAAGGAGCCATCTCTTGATGGCCTCCACTCGAGTGAATTCTTTATAGTCCTTATTCCTCTAAAGTGTCAATGCAAACATATATGTCAGGCATTACTAGATTCCCAGAGACAGCAAAACTATTTTAAATTAAGTTATTTTCCTAAGTCACATGGCTCAAGGTCACAGGAACTAGTATTCACAACTTGGACCCTGGTTTGTTTCCAGAATCTGCTTAACTGGTAAGAAGATAACAGCTTTACGTTTCCTGACACAGTGCAGACTCATCTGAATGCTCATGAAAGTTTAAAAGATTAATTCATGTTTTGTATATATCTCTTACCATATTAAAGCAAGTAAAAATATATAAACAGTAAAAATAAGGCATTGTTGACTGTGTGTTGTTGTTGCAGACCCCCTGATATCACATATAGCAGTTGTGTATCTTCCTTGCTTCTAGAAAGAGTCTGTAATAGTTAACACAACAGAAACATTAACTAGACAACCCCAGAACTAGTGTAAAATAAGAAGGGGTGGGAATGATAAACATCTTGAGAAAGAACGGACAGCATGGGCATGCAGTAAGGAGCCTGATGCGCCAGCCCAGAAAGCTGTTGCTATCCAGCAGACCCTTAGCAGAAAGCCTTCCAGAAGCCACCCAAAAGGGAGGGAATTGCAAGAGTCTCCATCAAAGTTTTATTGACTGTGGTGCTAGGAATCAAACCCAGAGCCTACGGAGCCCAGATACGTATAAGAGAGAGAGCTTCACTGCAGAACATGGCTTGCAGGGAGGAGAGGGCGAGAGCCAAGTCTAAGACATCCAGACAGAGGCACCAGCCCATGGCCTATCATAGCAGACTGTTTGGAACTTGAATTCTGCCTCTGGTGCCGGGGTAAGCCAGTAAAGGCTGTAATGAGGGAGTGACGTGTTGGTTGTCCCAGCTGATGTGTTAGGGTGCATGAGAGGAGAATGAGGCAGGAGTACATGGCCTGTTAGAAACATTTGCGGGGGAAGGGAGGGTGGGTTCCACAAAACACTGTCAGGAGTGCAAGACAGGCAGTGTCATCTGGTTTCCTACTGATTGACAGTGGGGAATCCAGCGCAGATGGTGCCAGGCTCCCAGTTTGGGAATGTAAGTGCCATGCTGCTTTCTCTATTTTGTACAGAGCAAGGAGCCCAAGTAACTAGTTCTAGGGGATCTGAAGCCCTCTTCTGGCATATATGAAGATAGCATTCAAACACATAAAATACTTGGATAAACATCTTTTGTAAAAGAATTGATTCCATTGTATGAAGAAAAGGAACAGCCAGGTTGCCTTGTATGCGCGGAGTTGTCTTCCCCTTGGGCATGTCTCACATCTGAATATGCGTGTTAAAATTTAAGTTCCGGGTAGATAGGTGTGGAAACAGGGTGCCCTGTAGTGACTACCTACATTTCTTTAAAGCTAGAACTGGATGGTGAGCGAGTAGAACTGCCTAATTTGGAAGGTATTATCGTTCTGAACATTGGCTACTGGGGCGGCGGCTGCAGACTGTGGGAAGGAATGGGAGACGAGACTTACCCTCTAGCCAGGTATGGATGTTCGGTGTAGTGGTTGGATTTGACAGTGCTTGGTGTGGGTACATGGTCTCACTGTGAAAACCACGTTCATCTTGAACTCAGTTTCACACTGCGGCATCCCTAGAGCTGGATTACAGTTGTTAGTCACCACAGCCAGCTGCAGTCTGGGGTTGTCACTTTGCTTTAAAGTGCTCTGGGTTTTTTGTTTTGTTTTGTTTTAGTAAGTTTTCCCTTCTTCTATATATGTTAACATATGAACATTAATAAGTTGATGGAATAGGGTGTGGTGGCACTGGGTGCCTTTAATCACATGGATGGGTGGATGGATAGATGGATGGGTGGGTGGATGGGTAGGTGAATGGATAAATGGATGGATGGGAGGATGGATGGATGGATGGATGGATGGATGGATGGATGGGAGGATGGATGGATGGATGGATGGATGGATGGATGGATGGATGGATGGATGGGAGGATGGATGGATGGATGGGTGGGTGGGTGGGTGGGTGGATGGGTGGATGGGTAGATTGTGGGGGATGAATGAATGGGTGAGTGTTGTAAGACGCCATTTGTTTGTTTTCCCAGCCACCCAGACTCCTGAAATAATCACACAGAAACTATATTATTTAAATCACTGCTTGGCCCATTAGCTCTAGCTTCTTATTGGCTAACTGTTACATCTTAATTTAACCCATCTCCATTAATCTGCCTGTCAGCAAAGTTTCAGCATGTCTGTCTCTGGCAATGTCTCTATGGCTTCTCCCTTTACTCCACCCTCTTCCTCCCCGCATTCAGTTTAGTTTTCTTTTTTTTTCTTTTTTTTTAATATTTATTTATTTATTTATTTAGTATACAATGTTCTGTCTGTATGCCTACAGGCCAGAAGAGGGCGCCAAACCTCATTACAGATGGTTGTGAGCCACCATGTGGTTGCTGGGAATTGAACTCGGGACCTTTGGAAGAGCAGGCAATGCTCTTAACCACTGAGCCATCTCTCCAGCCCTCGGTTTAGTTTTCCCTACTTAGCTCTACTCTACCCTATCACAGGCCTAAGACAGTTTATTAACCAGTGGTGTTCACAGCATACAGAGGGGAATCCCACATCAGGTGGGCAGATGGATGAGTAGGTGAATAAGTAAATAAATAAACTGATAGCCCATCTTATCAAAAGAGAAACTGCTATCTGTGGATAATTTGATTTCATTGTGTTCTGTAATCCATATTTTTTATTCTAATGTTAGGCATGATGATGGTTTACTGGAAGTCGTTGGAGTGTATGGGTCTTTCCACTGTGCTCAAATCCAAGTGAAACTGGCAAATCCTTTTCGAATAGGACAAGCACACACAGTGCGGGTAGGTAGCTGGCTGTTTCCAAGCTGTGGGTGTGGGAAGACAGCACGCATCTGTCACTTCCTCTATCTCCATAGACTATAGCAGGGCCTTGCAGGAAGCTGCCAACTAAAGAAATAAAATACCCACTAGAAAAGAATCCCTAAACAGTCTCTCTGTATATTCAGATGAATTTTTGTTTAATGTCAAAGGTTAAGAACCTGTAGGAGTTAATGAGAGATAGAAATACCTGCCCGTAATTTCTAGAACTGACATTTTTCTAATTATTTCCTGATTTCAGCTGATTTTGAAGTGCTCGATGATGCCAATGCAGGTGGATGGGGAGCCTTGGGCCCAGGGACCCTGTACTGTCACCATAACACACAAGACACATGCTTTGATGCTCTGCTTCTCTGGGGAGCAGTCGGATGACGACATCTCAAGTGCCTCGGATCAAGAGGACGTAAAGAAAGCTGAGTAGGATGAGCTGAAGCAGCAGCTGTCCAAACCATAGACACGTGGTCGCCCACAGGAAGTGCTGTTAGCTCTTGTCTTCATTTCATTCCTAGTGTAATGGGTGTGAGCTTATGTAAACAGCATTTCCACAGCTAGACTTCAGTGTCATAAACACCTTCTCTTAGCAAGACTCTCATCATTTATTACTAACTTTGGAAAAACACTCAAAGTTGCACGGAGATAAACTGTTTTTCCCGACTGGGTGTTTTGAGACTGGCGCCCACTGCAGCATGCACTGTCTTGAGTGACAGCTGATAGACAGAGTGAGGATGAGAAGATCATTTCCCTCTTAGTTTTTGATACGGTGACAACGTAACACGTTAAAAATTAACTTGCTTTTTGAACTGCCGTGGTTAACGCTGGGCTTTCTCCTGCAGTGTGGTTCCTAAGATTTCCCCAGCCAGATGGACCTACATCCTGATTTCTGGGAGCCCCTGAGGAGAAAAGAGAAAGAGCAAAGACACTTTAAGCTTTCACAGCGTGTATTTTCTATCATGGCTTTTAGGCCTCTGGGTGTTTATTTAATGACCATATTGAGCTGAAATGCAAAATTCTTTTTTTTTTAAGTTGTTTTTGTTTGGGCAGTACTAGGGTTTGAACCTAGGTCCTCTGGAAGGAAGTGTAGACAGATGCTCTACTACTGAACTGCACTCCCAGTCCCGTGTGTGTGTGTGTGTGTGTGTGTGTGTGTGTGTGTGTGTGTGTGTTGGGTGGATGGGTCTAAAGTAAGATTAAGAGCACTTTGGGTTGGGAGCTCTATAATTCACCAGCTTCTCTGTTGATTAAAAGATAGTGTTGACAGTGGGGAAAAATACACATAAGGGAAGCTTCTGAGTTAGATTAATTATTCACAAAACAATTCTAGGCTGACTGCCTTCGCATCAAGTGAGCAGTCTTGTGTTGTGAAACACTGCAGGACTTCCACAGCATCAGCCTTGGAGAAGGAAGCTCTGCTGAGATGTTTATATCATATTTATTTCAAAATTAGAAAGATATATATTTTTAACTTAATTTATTATTATCCTTGTAGTATGATCCTTGTGGTTAGCATTTACACTGTATCGTACAGCTTCAGCTAGTGAAGTGGTCACGTAAGTCTGCTGGTCACAGTCACAGAGAGCTCTCTTTTGGTTTCCATGGCATCATACTCACTATGCTCATTTCTCAGACTTGAAAAGGGAGGGCACATGATGAAGACCTTGGGGTAACAAGCTTGGTTTCATCGCACCTCCACCCTCTGTTGCCAAGGACTTACTGAAAGGCAGTTCCACAGCTCTCCATTAGAGGGTGCTCTTCTGTTGTCAGTGGCCTACCTCTGTGGTTGGTCACACCCATTGGGCATCTAACCCTGTGTATTTCTGACAAATGGCATGTTTGCACTTGGTGGTCTTGCATGAATTAATTTCTGAAAGACTAGAATCTATTCCCAGAACCACCATTTATCTCCCGTGTAAATGGTTTGTTATGAATCTATAGTCAGTGAATTGCCATAAACTTCAGTCTAGGCCATGTGTTTGGAAGGCCAATTTAGTAATGTCTGTTAATGCATACATCATCTAAAGTGAATTTTCACTGCGAAATTAACCTCTTCCAGCTGATGCCAAATTCTCCCATTGAAAGATGCTCCACAGTCTATCCCAGCTCCCTCATGCACCTTCCCTGGATAACGATAGCCGAGGGCATGCAAGAGTTTGCAGCAGTCCCTTGTGAACGGATCCTGTTTGGAGTGCGATGAACTTCATCCTTAGATTCATGGTCAGGATTGCTAAGATGTCACCCTCTGAGGCACACTCTTACTTTTAGCTGTAATTCATACCGCTCATCTGTAGTGGAAACAAATCATTAATTTGGAGCTACCAATCAGAATCCTTCAGGTAACTCCAGAGATGCCCTAGTTAGAGCAGGCGTGTGTCCCCTTCCCACAACACACTATACTGATTTCTGAGGCCTTGCTCACCCGATCTCATCTGCACCTTTCACAACACCGCACCACTAAATGGACAGTATTGTTCTGCAGCTCACACTTTCAGCCGCTTGTTCACCCCAGCATTCCAGATAAATGTATAGGCATGTGCCTTGTTTGAATACAATTTGTAAGACTTGGTGTTTGCAAATTATATATTAGGTAGTGGTAGCTTACATTCCTGGGGTCTCTACTTCACACACTGGGTCACCACGAGATCCTCTGTTCCATTTAAAGTTGTCTCGATAGCAACATAACTTACATGTTCTCAGGAAAAATTAGAAACCATCTATCTTCACATCTCTTGTCTTTTTCTCCCCTGACACATTCCTAATGCCCATACACTTAATGGCTTAAACACCAAATACCTGGCAGCTCCTCTCGGTCCTTAGATAGATAGTTTCTAATGCTTTATTATATTATATTGTATTATATATATATATATTAAGTCAGAGGCACTTCTGTCTCGAACAGAAGTTGCCCAACAGTGAGGTCACTAAATATAAATGTTCTGAATTTTCTGTAACTCTTCGCTGTGAACGTGTAATGTAGCTGATATTTATAAACATTTTATAGTGAAACTATTTATTTTATTTTTTTAGAGTATGAAATCTGTAGTAGTTGCCTTTTGAACATTTGTGTACCTGGTTGTAACATAGACTGACTCAGAAAAGTTCTTATCTGTGCTGTAAACTGGGTGCTTCTACCAGCATGTCAAAAAGAGGCATTTTCATCTGTAATATAAAGTCAAATATTTCTAATGTACACTGTGGGTTTTTTAATTTGCCCTAGTTAGAAAACTTGAAAGATTATATTAATTTACACATCGATGTGAACCTAAATACATAATCTGACCAGAAAAGTCTATAGAAGATGATTTTGTGACACTTTTGTTCAAAATGGTAATTCTGAAGCAAGAAGCTTTATATTCAGAAATGCTCTGGTAGGTTCTCTGTGTGTGTGTGGGGGGGGGGGTAATTTGATTTTTGTGACTTTTTTATAAACTTCTGTACAGTGTAGGACAGGAAATATTAAATAGACTTGTTATTATTTAGAAAATGTTTTCTTGTTTGGGTTTCTTGTTTTGCTTTGTTTTTTGTTTGTTTTTTTAGTCTAGAAACTTTAAAAAGAAAATTGTTTTGTTGCTTCCTCCCAGTCCTCAGGAAGGCCCGTGCTCAGCTACAGCACAGGCTCTTGCTTCAGCTCACCTTTGCAAAGCATGCTCTGTGTTTCTAGAAGCCTCAGACCTAGCCGTTGCATCTCACATGTTCTCTCAGAGCCAGGAAGGCCAGAAGTGTGGTTGAGGGGTGACAGAGTCATGGTCTCACGGGACAGAGGAGCCTTTTTATTTACAGCACCCTTGTTTGTACTAGGTTGGCAATGTATACTGCTTTAATCTCAATGCAGAGTCCTGGCCAGCCTGGCTATATAGGAGGATCCTGTCAGCGGAAAAAAAAAAAAAAAATGCATTCTAACCCTGTCAGTGACCTAGCTATTAACATAAACATTGGTAGTTCCTGGTGTGAATGTAGTCTTTAGACTGTTGTGTGGGGTCTCGGAGGAGGAAGAGCTGGTGGAGCAGAGTGAGCAGGCCAGATGGCCCCTGCCTTCCTCCTTAGCACAACAACATATGAGACTACTAACCTCTGCTGAGTGAGTCATGGGACTTCAGTGTGTAAAGTATTTATGCTGTTTGCAAAACAATTCTGTCTCTCTCTCTCTCTCTCTCTCTCTCTCTCTCTCTCTCTCAGTTTTACGAGACAAAGTTTCTCTGTGTAGCCTTGGCTGTCCTGGATCTCACTGTGTAAACCAGGCTGGCCTCAAACTCAGATCCACCTGACTCTGCCTCCCAAGTACTGGGATTAAAGGCACACACCACCACCGCTCTCAGTTGGGCGTGGTAGCAATGTCTGTCATCTCAAAGAGAGAGACAGAAAGATCTCTGAGTTCAAGGCCAGCCTGCCAGCCAAGGCCACAGAAACCCTGCCTCAAAAAACAAGGTTTTTGTTTTTTTTAAAAAAAATTGTTTTTATGTATATGTATGTTTTGTTTGCATGTATGTCTATGCCATGACGATGCCCAGGGAGGTCAGAAGACGGTGTGGGGTGAGCTACAGTGTGAGTACTGGGAGTTGAACTCAAGTCCTTTTAAGAACAGCCAGTGCTCTTTCCTGCGGAGCCAACTCTGTAGCTCAATTTTTTTTTCCCCCCTTTTTCGAGACAGGGTTTCTCTGTGGCTTTGGAGCCTGTCCTGGAACTAGCTCTGTAGACCAGGCTGGTCTCGAACTCACAGAGATCCGGCTGCCTCTGCCTGCCAAGTGCTGGGATTAAAGGCATGCGCCACCACCGCCCGGCCTTTCAAATTTTTTTCTAAGGATTTGGAAAATGCTTTCTTTGAACACTTTGTCATATGGTTGGTTTTCTAATGTTTTTTTATGCACTCAAACCCTCATTTTTTCTGAAAATACTGTTTTGGGGGACTCCATTGCCACTTGGAACATAGTCACTAGGCTATGTCACAGCTTTCAGTGGCATTTTGTTGTTTAGTAAAGTTCCAGAATTGGCCTCTGTTGTGTTGTAATCATGGGGTGCAAACTGTCTGTGTATTCAGGTACTTTACATAAAGACACACATGTGTGTTTTCTCTGATGCCCCTGGCTATTTAGTGAATATGAGGCTTACTGGCCTCAAAAGGGTATATCCCAAGATTATTAAAAAGTTAAGCTTTAATACCAACATTGACAAGGTTATCGCTCTGCAATAGGATCTATAGAATTTACCCAGAAAGTGTGTAGTCATGATACTGATACTAGACCAAGGGCCTTTCCTCAGTCTCTGTAAGGATAACCTGGATATTAAGGCTACTCACATTAAAGAAGATCCAACACACAGAATGCACTGAATAAGAAAGGAGCCCAGCTCTCTGGTGACTGACACAGACTGTTCAAACGGGAAGAGTCAGGACATTAGATTGTTTTCCTCGTTTTTTTCTGGCATTGTCCAAGCAAGATAGCACCCTGATTGGATGGACAGATTTGACAGGCTGGGAAAAATGCAGGGCTAGGCAGGGCACCACCTTCTCTTGGATGGTTACTGCCCCAAACATCTTTTCTAAATTCAGAGTCCTGCTAGTAGTCCTTACAACGTGATCCGCTTGAATGATCCCTTGGCCCTCTGCTCTGTGAATGTTCTGTGCCAGTTTAGAGCGCCTACCTGGGTCTTCGGTGCTCCCCCAAGAGAACTCATCCTTTGAACCCTCAGCACTGAAGATGCAGCGACACCACAGGAGCAACCGGCCAGCTTCTTGCACCTTGTCCCCACTCTGACCACAGATCTAACACCCACCTGTTTCTGTTAACTGCTCCCGTGGAGTTGGGTCCTGTGTTCGGTACCTACAAACAAATATAAAGGAAAGCATATGATATGTTGAAACTATGTTTGCTTGTTTTAAAATAAAATTTAAAGTTTAGCACTTAAGAAGTCAATCTTGTGGTGGGTGTATGATTGTCAAAACTGTGACGCAAAGCTGTGAGTCATGCCAGGCGGGGCGTGGCGCACACCTTTAACCCCAGCGCTGGGGAGGCAGAGGCAGGTGGATCTCTGTGAGTTCGAGGCCAGCCTGGTCTACAAGAGCTAGTTCCAGGACAGCCAGGGCTGTTACACAGAGAAACCCTGTCCTGAAAAAGAAAAAGAGAGAGAGAAAGCTTTGAGTCTCTAGCAAAATAGTCATTGGTCTTCAGCAGGGCAAACATACTTTGTAGCAAGTTCTAAGCAATGATTTTGAAAGCAAAGAAACATGGAAAATTTAGAATGCCTGTGGTTCTGGTGACACTCACCTTGCGTTGTCTTGAATGAGAGTGGTCTCCAGAGACTTATGTTTTAGTACTTGGTCCCAGTTGGTGGAGGTGTGGCCTTGGAGGGGGGTGGGTGTGTCACAGAGGTGGGCTCTGAGCTTTCAAAAGCCTCCCTGCATCCCGTGAGCTCTCTGCCTCCTGCTTAGAGTTTGAGATGTGAGCGCCCAGTTGTTCCTGCTGCCGTGGCTTCGCCCCCTTCCATTAGAATTGTAATTAAATGGCATTGAAGTGAGGGCTCTCCAGAGCACTCACACAACCATGAGAAGCTGAGTTCGAATCCTAGCACCCACATAACAGCCTGGTGTGATCTCCCAAATTCCTGTAATCTCAGCCTTCAGGAGATGGAGACAGAAAGATCTTGGAGTTGACTGACTGCCAACCTAGGGAAGGTTATGTGGTATTATTGCACACCTGTAATCCCAGCATTTAGGAAACAAACAGGGGCCTCTATGAGTTCCAGGCCAGCCTGATCTACAGAATGAATTCCAGGCCAGCCAAAGCTATGAACTGACACCCTATCTCAAAGAAATATATATCTATTATACCCAGATAAGTAGGGTACTATGTGAACTAGAGCGTATAAAACACACCATCTATCCCAGTCAAGTGGCACGCTAGCCTCCATCGAGCATCTCATCCATAAAGCAATCTCAGTCAAGTATTTTTTTGTCCCTTCCAAAATATCCAATGGAATCAACAGAACAGATCTAACTCCTGTTTCCCAAACCATGACACTCAGAAGGGTTAAATGGCATACTGAGTTGTCCTGACTCCACTTTTGAGTCTGTGTACACACTTGCCAGCCCTCTACTCCCCAACCCCTGACAGCCAGGTCTGCCTTGGCAACACATTTTGGGATTTCCATGACCCTGACCGTGGTCCAGACGCATTAACCAAAATAAGTAATGATTATGTGAACAAATGTAAACTAACATAACAGAAAAAGGTATAAATCAAAATTAATTGTCATGCTGTGTCTGAAATAATTAGGTTCTCTCAAAACAAATGCCGCAGGGTTACTCTGACCCTCATCCAAGATTGATATAATTGTGCTTTTTGCTTGTAAAAACCCTGCCCTGGAGCTTCCACGCCAAGAGACACTGGGGTATTGGCCCCACTCTTGGCCACAGGTCAAAAAAATTAAAGGACTCAATCTTGAGATTCTTGGCTTCATTGGAGTAGTGGTCCGTATCTTTCTCATGTGAATTTATTTCGGTGACAGTGTTGCATAGATTGTAATCCCTGACCCACACAGTCTTTTGACTCTGAAATCCAGTGGGTTTGGGCCTCTCTTTTTCCCCAACTAAGTTACACCATCTTCTGGCCGGTGAGGGGTTTCTAGCTTTCACAGTTGACTATTGTAACTGTGAGGGTTTCTTTCTGTTTGTTGTAACCAGAAGCAAGGACAGCATTTATTTCTGCTTACAGGATGGAATTCATTGGTAGAGTTCAGGGCAAGAACTTAAGCAAGGGGCTGGAGAGATGGCTCAGCAGTTAAGAGCACTGGCTGATCTTCCAGAGGACCTGGGTTCAACTCCCAGCACCCACCTATAATTCCAGTTCCTGGGCATCCAACACCCTCACAGGACATGCATGCTGGCAAAACACCCAAAGCACATAAAATGAAAACAAAATCATTTTTTAAAAGAGAGAACTTAAGCAAGAACTTGGAGGTAGGCCTGCTTGCTCTTCCACATAGCATCACCTCCAGTCAAAAGACTCACTTCAGCCAGGCGGTGGTGGCGCACGCCTTTAATCCCAGCACTCGGGAGGCAGAGGCAGGTGGATCTCTGTGAGTTCGAGGCCAGCCTGGTCTACAAGAGCTAATTCCAGGACAGGAATGAAAAACTACGGAGAAACCCTGTCTCGAAAAATCAAAAAAAAAAAAAAAAAAAAAGACTCACTTCACAACCAAACAAGTACAGCAGAGATCATGGAAGGGGAAGAGGAGCTTGCTAGCTTGCTCACAGGCCATGTTATACTCAGATAGCTTTCTTACACAGTTCAGGATCACCTGTCGGGGGCTGATACTTGGGTCCTCCAACATCAATTAATAAGATAGCCCCCAGACATGCTCACAGGCCAATCCCACCTGGAAAGCCCCTCGGGTGAGACACCCTGCTCAGATGCCTCCAGGTTGTCAAGTTGACAGGTGAAACAAACTAAGACAGGGCTGGAGAGATGACTCTGCAGCTAAGAGCAGGTAATTGCAGAGGACCAGAGTTTAGTTTCCAGCACTCAGATTGGGTAGTGTAACTCAGATTGGGCCTGCTTGTTGGGGTTTCTGTCCTGCCCAGTTCCCACAGCCCGTAAGTTCCAAAGAAACCAGATAGAATTCTACATTAATCATAAACTGATTGGCCCATTAGCTCAGGCTTCTTATTAACTCTTATAACTTATATTAACCCATTATTCTTATCTGTGGTAGCCACATGGCTCAGTACCTTTTTCAGCGGGGTAGATCACACCCCCTGCTTCTTAGGTGTCTGAGAGGACTGGAGAAAAATGGGCTTCCTCCTTCCCAGAATTCTCCTCATTGCCCCACCTCTACTTCCTGTCTGGTTGTTCCATCTATACTTCCTGCCTGGCTACTGGCCAATCAGCATTTATTTAAAATATAATTGACAGACTACAGAATTGTCCCCCACCAGGGTAGTGCAAAATTGCCTGTAATTTTTAGCTCCAGGGGTTCTAATGCCTCTTGTGACCTCCACAGGCTCTGCACTCATGTGTACAAACCCATGCACAAACATACACACACATACAATTTTTTTTTAAAAGTTAACTAAGACTCCTTTTTCCTCTCGCCACTGTCTCACAGATATACCACAAAGCAGGAATTGGTATTTGTATGTATGTTGCACGTTCATATGTGTGCATGTACATCTAACATGCAGGTGCAGATGTGTGTGAAGGCCAAAGGGTAACCTCAGTCCTAGGTATCCTTCCTTAGGCACAGTCCCCTTGTCTTTTGAGACAGGGTCTCTCACTAACCAGGGAGTTGGCGGGGGGTGGGGGGGGGGACTCACCAGATTGGCTAGACTGGGTAGCCAGCATGCCTGAGGGATCTGTTGTCTCCACTTCCCCAATGCCGGGTTATAACTATGCCAACCACACCCAGCTTTTGGGAGTATGGGATGGAACAGACTCTTCACTTCAGGTTCATGTGGCAAGCACTTTACCAACTGGGAGAACCCCAGATCTCCCCAGACCAGAAAGCAAAATTCTGTGGGGACTTCACTGGAACTGGCCTGGCAAAATGACTCAGCAGGTGAAAAACGCTCGATGCCAAGCCTGATGGCCTGGGTTTGATCCCTAAGGCCCACAAGACGGAAGCAGAAGAAAGTGGCCTCCATAAGTTGTCCTCTGTTCCCACCTGTGTGCTGTGGTTCACACACATACACACACACACACACATACACACACACACACATACACACACACACACACACACACACACACACACACCATGCACTAGATAAATGTAAAAAATACAGATTTTCATTGCCTGGCATGATATTCACATGTTTGGGGTTTTTTGTTGTTGTTATTGTTGTTGTTGTTGTTGTTGTTGTTTTAATTTGGTTTGGTTGGTTGGTTTTTTTATTTGGTTTTGGTGTTTTGGAGTTTTTTGTTTGTTTGTTTTGCTTTTTTCAAGACAGGGTTTTTCTGTAACAGTTCTGACTGTCCTGGAACTCCCTTGGTAGACCAGGCTGGCCTCGAACTCACTGAGATCTGCTTGCCTCTGCCTCCCAAGTGCTGAGTTTAAAGTCTTGAGTCACCACTGCCTGGCTAGTGCACACATTTAATCCCACCTCACCCAGAGGCAGGTGAATCTCTGTGAGCTTGAGGCCAGGCAACAGGGCTACATAGTAAGACCCTGTCTCAAACACAAGGAAAGAAAATCCCAGCGGCTCTAGCCAGGGGTGCCGCACAGGGTCAATACGTGCTGGCGGTGCAGTGAACTTGCTCTGACCGGTCAGCTTCTGCTGCCTCCAGTCATTTTCTGCGCTGACTCATCGACAGACCCACAGAGAAACAGCGAGTGAACCTCTGGGTTCAGAAGAGCAGGAAAAGGAAAGTGATACCTAGCCCGAGCCTAGAAGGAGATGACAACCTAATAAATTCAAATCCGAAGATTTGTCATTTGTTAGCTACTGGACAAGACAGCAGGAAGAGCAGGGTACTAGCAGAGGCTCAACAGGCCATGAATTTGGGGAGGTAGCAGATAACCAGGGAGGAGAATGTTTTGACATCTGTGCTGCTGTAAAGTCCAGCTCGCAGCAGGTCGAAAATGGAAGGGGAGACGCGGAGTCTGCGGACTAATCACTCAATTGACTTTCTTATCTGAGGGAATAAAACGTAATTCTCTGGGGCCAACAAAAAGGGTAAACACACACACCCATGCACACACCCACACACACACACACCTTCAGGGTCTATCATTTTCTATCTTTACTTTTTCTCCCTTACAGCTTTTATACCGCATCAGAATCTTTCAAGCAGTATAAAAAGTACGATGTGGTTACATTCTGTTTTTCAATTGAATGATTATAATGAATACAAGTAAAAAACAAAACAAAACATGTTTCTCATTTCCCTTACATGATTAAACAT